GGTGTAGTTCTTTGGTGTGGGCGGAGTTTGTAAAGACTGATTGGTGTAGTTCTTTGGTGTGGGCGGAGTTTGTAAAGACTGATTGGTGTAGTTCTTTGGTGTGGGCGGAGTTTGTAAAGAGTGGTGTAGTTCTTTGGTGTGGGTTGACAGAGTTTGGAGTATAATTTGGTGGAGGTTCGTGGGTGTGGGCGGAGTTTGGAATATAGGTGGAGCATCTTAGATGGGCGGAGTTTGGTAAAACTGTGATTGGTCAAACTGACTTGTTTTGAGGGCAAATTAAAAGATGCAGTAATGTTAATAGTAAAACTTAATATGTAAACAATTTATTGACTTCAAATTTTGTGCAGCCAGCACCTTTCTGTCTCGAGGTTTGACTAATATAAATATATTTACTGTATTCAAGAAAGCTATTTTTTTATTGGTGCTTTCTGGCCAGTTCGATTGACCTTTCACATTCCTCCAGCTGTTCATCCAACCGAATCSTTATGGCATTTTCAAACCCCACACAAAATATTAACTCTGAACAATCACATCTAACAAACTCCACACACACACACCAAGAACCTCCCGTTTAATGACTGCAGAGTTTTGCTTTTTATAAGTATTCTACAACCATCTTCTCTTGAGTTTTTATAGAACTCTGCATCCTTGGATCCAAGGTTTTAGTTCAAGACAAAACAAATTCTACCATCATAGCGTTCTTCTAGTGAAACGAGGTGTAGATCAGTCTTTTCAGAGTTTTTGTTTAAAGTTTTAATAAAAATATGATCAATTGATGATTAAAAAAGGTTCACTTTRAAGAGAAACTGTTGTCTCTTGTTGCAACAGTTTAATTTGTAAAAATCCTGGGTTATTTTTTCACTTGGGGTCAGAGTTAAGCAAATCTAAATACTGAAATAAATGATTTAAATGTGTAAGGAAAAAGCTTCCTTTTAAAGGTCGGTTTTAAACGAAAATGTTTGTCTTCATTTGGTTCGAAGAGATGAAAACTGAAGTTAATTTTATCCATGGAGGCTGTTCAGACTCATCTTTAAAAAAATGTTAAAACTTYGTTACACAAAAGAGAAAAATGTTTTTCACTTCTGGCTTTGCTGTAGTTGTCCTTCACCAGATGAAGTTTCTATTGGTCTGATTTCTGTTTCTGGGATTTGAACCTATCAGAAACTGATTCAGATTATGTGATTACTTTTTGACAAACAGTCCATGAGCAGATCAGTGTCAGCGTGTGAATAATCACCTCTCAGCACATTAACGGTGGTCTTTTATTAATAAGAGAACGACGTGCTCCTGGTTGTTTTCTGTCAGTCGAGGCGTTAAAGGAGGTTTTGTGTTGCTTCGGTAATTTACGAGTTAGACATCAGAGCAGAGACGAGAGGCTCATAAAGGAGAGTCTAACAGTGATTTATTGGCGTGGAAAGCAGCTGCAGAAGAAAAGGAAGCCGTCGTCTTCAGCCTCCGACAGCAAACAGCTGCTTTGTGAGCTTCAATAAGAGGTTCAGGCTGTGAGCGTCGGTGCTGAAAGGTTGTCATGTATGAACTGCGAGAACAACAAAACTGGATGAAAATGTTGCAAAAACAGAAACAGAACTTCCTGTTTTCTGTCTGCTAATTTTCAGTAAAGCTAAACTTTGAGAGACGGAGTATAGTTTTTGCATCAGAACACTTTGTTTGGTTCATGTTTGATCCTGAATATTCACTAAATAAATGCTCAAAAACACCAAGGCTCATCACAAAGGAAAGCCAAGACAAAATATTTTTATATCTTTTGTTGCTGAATTAAATCTTTACATCTGCAAATGGTCCCAACCTGCATAGCAAAATGTATCTGGTCCAGTTCTGACCCACAAAATGCACAGTTGGCCCAGATACCGCAAAATCATGGCCCTTTGGTGGTCCAGATTTGTTTTGCCAGAGGTGGATCGTGCATGGGCTAAAACCACAAAAACCACTGGGCCATTTGAGGCATTGATAGATTTGGGCCACATAAAGCAAACCACAACAGGGCCAGTTGAGGCATTTATAGATTTGGGCCACATAAAAAATCAGTGGGCCATTTGTGGCACTGACAGATTTGGGCCACATAAAGCAAACCATAATTTGGCCAGTTGAGGCGTTGGCAAATTGAAGCCACATAAAATAAACCACAACTGGTCCAGTTGTGGCATTGATAGAATTGAGCCTCATAAACAAAAAAAAACAAAAAAAAAAAACAGGGCCAGTAGAGGCATTGATAGAATTGGGCCACATAAACCAAACCAGAACCAGGCCAGGTGTGGCTTTGACATATTTATGCTGCATTAACCAAAGCACAGTTGGGCCAGCTGCGGTATTGACAGATTTGAGCCACGTAAACCAAACCACAACCAGGTCATTTGTGGCACTGACATATTTGGGCCACACCTGATCGCCATGTGAATGGTCATATTTTCTTTAAAGAAACCAAAAATATTGATTTGAACAGAAACTCCTTACATTATTGTAAAATAAAAACAGATTCCAATAGATCAGTATTTTCAGATATGAGTAGAAAGACTGTTTTCTCTACAAACATCTGTAAAAATTCCCAACCAAATCAAAGCTTCTTTTAAACCTTTATGAAGAATCCTGTGCTGAGATAYACTTTGAATTGTTGTGGTTGGATTTTAAAACAATAAAACTGCATAATGTGGATTATAAATCCACGCAGGGCTATAAGACGGACTATTAATCAAAACAATAGATTTCCCTGCTGTACGAAGTGAGGCAGGATTATAGTGCAGAAATACAGCAGACAGTGAAATAAAGCTTACGAATTTACACAAACCAGCATCAGCAGCTTGTAATTCAAACAACGGTTTGCTTCACAAATCAAGTCCTGTAAAAACAACTCGTGCTCTGCAACGTTGAGTAAATTTAAACAGCAGCACTGCAGAGGCAGGATGCACAGAACTCTACATATTGCATATTTTATGACCGTGAGGAAGAGTTTGCTTCAATGGAACTTGTGAACCGTTTCTAAAAACGCTGGTGCAGCTGACAAAAGTTCAACTCAAAAGAACAAAAGCAGATGATCCATTTGTTTTTTAAAAAAACAGAAATAAGGTTCAGAGCTGTGGTGGACACAGCTAACCAAACATTTGGTTCACTAACCACTAATCCGCTTATCAAGAATCTTAGCTTTGCTAACAGTAAAGCTAAACAGATAAAAAAATAGTGGAAGCTAAGGCTAACCACTGAAGGGACTGACACAAATTTGTTGGTAGTTTTCTATTGGTTTAATTTGAAGGGCGGGAACATCTGTGCCAGATCGGTCAATCCAAACCAGTTATAGTTCAGTCTAACGTGATATTTAATCATTTCAGAATAAAACATATTTTTATAAATTACCATATGAAAGTAGTCAAACAGTAAATATTTTCTCTACTATATTTTATACATTGTTCATTTTTGTAGTCGTTATTTAAATATTGTTAAATGTTTATTTATTTTTGATGCTCTTAGTTTGAAATTTAGCTGCGAAAGATGCTACACGCTACACACATGCAGCACTGCTTGAACGGGCAGATAATTTTTATTTAATTTGGGATGAATGGTATAAAAACAAACTTTTACACTGATGAATTTTTAGTGGACTTAAAATTAGCGGAACCCAGTTTAGTGGAAGCTAATCAGTCTGCTAACAGTTTACAAAATTAGTAAAAAAAAAAAAAAAGCCCATAGCTAATCCGCTAAATGAGAAGCTAGTTCTGCTTCTAGTGAATTAGTGGAACAGTCTCCATTATGAATTTAAAAACATCTACTTAAAATAGAAGACTAAATACCAAAACAGTAGAAGTTTTGTTTGCCATCTTCCACATCAGCGTTTGAAACAGATTTCTTATGATCTCTTAGCACTCTGGGTACGTGATGGAGATGACTCTCAGCTACTACCACATCAGGTTTTATCTCAATATCTGAAAAAAATGACTGAGTTATGACCATTTTATTTGTTGGCTAATGTTGACTAGCTGTAGTGGATGTGTTACATTAGGTTAGTTAATCTGTTATAAATGTACATTTAATGATTATTTACATTAAAATCTGTTCGGTGGTCCATGAGATATTCTCATAAATACACAGATACTGGAAATTACATGATCACCCATCGTTGGTATCAAATCAATCCAAACTCTTTTTTTTACATTTTTTCACCTCTCACCTTTAATTTCAGTCTTTTAACGTTTGCTTCAAAGTTAAATTCAGTGTTTGATTCTCATCTATAGGTGACAAAGTTCATCAATATTTACTTTACATTTCCATTATTCAACTATATTAGAGTTAATGGCATAAAAATTAAATATTTATAGTATGATTTATTTTGGTAATAAAAATCTAAAACAGTTTTTTCTCTCTCTTGTCTTACAGATTTATAAACAAACCCCGGGATTAAACAGAGCAACGTGTTGAAGTCGAGCTGAACGAGGCTGCAGTATTGACGAAGGTTGTTTAATTACACGAGCATCCGGTGAATCATTTCAGAATTAATTACAGGATTTAAAGACCGGTTCAGGAAATCACATCAGACCCTGCGTTAAGTACAGCTGCGTGTTAAACTCATCGGACGTGATTATTGTTCGGTGGTCAGAAACCAGCCTCAGCACTTTCACATTCAATAATGCTGAGCTGCTGGTGGCGGCCCTCCAAAAAACCAGTTCAGCACTTTGGCTCGGGAGAACAAACAAGGCTACGGTTCTTTTAGAGGAAGTTTTTACCATAGGGCTGAAAACGGAGAAGTTTTTCATTTGAAAAGAAGATTTAGGATCTTTTTGTACCTTTAGGCAGCAGGATTTAACTGCTGAAACAAAGTACTGATGACTCAACTTTGTTTCCTACTCATGGTTGGCTGAAAAAGTTGGCTGAACTTTAGTGTTCTCTCTCTTCCCCGCTCCTCATTACTTATTAAAGACGAGCGCTACGCCCGTGTCGCTGAAGGATTTGAAGAGTGAAAGATTGTAGTTTTCAAATGAACAGGGAAWGAAAGTGAACCTTAATGTTTTTGGTGCAACATATTCAAGCAGGTAGGAGTTACATGCTGTATAAGAAGAGAGGAGATTATTTTTTAGCTTGTTTGAGGCGCCGCAGAGTGACGGATCTTGGCGAACGAAGGGAGCAGTTTTATTCATCACCAGGTGCAACGGCAGAGCATAAAGGGTGGTCAGTGGTGTCCACCATATTTTATTCTTCAACCACCCCACCGGACACCCAAATCATTTGAGTAAACTATACTTTGAAGCAGTATAAAACTAGAAAGAAAGCATAAGACCTAGAAAACTACATAAGGAGGTGGYCATCTTGAATTTTGACATGTTTGATAGGGAGCTAGTTGTAGCTACACCAAAAAAAGGTTAGTGCCTTGCTTATTTTTCAAATTATCAAACTAACAGGGAGTTAAAACAAACTGTCCTCATAGCTCGTTCCTACCTATGAACAGCTGGCTGTTGAGCTGCAGGTGAATGTGYCCGTCAGCTGGAGCTTCCTGCGCAGCGACAGGAAGCTCATCCACCCGAAGAGTCGCCTCCTTCACGTTGCGCTCGGCTCGGACCCGATGCCAGCGGTTGTCGTTCAGCGGGAYGTCGGATTCCACGCCGACCTCCAGCGGGCCATTACCAACGTCGAAGGAAAACACGACGCGAGTGGAAGCTGAGAGAAAACAAACAAACAAAACAAAAAACAGACTTTTATTATAAAATACTGAAGYTGTAACTAAATCTTAGCGAGCTGACACATTTCTAATCCAGGGCTATTATAGTTAACTAAAACTAACTAAATAACAAAAACTGAAATTGAAAAAACATTTTAGTTAACTGAAATAAATAAAAAATGTAATAAAAAAACAATGACGTCGAAGGAAAACACGACGCGAGTGGAAGCTGA